ATACGGCAACAGCTTCGTTCTTCCACGAAACGCAGGACGTCTTATCCCGACGTACTTTTGTCCAAACGGGAGATGTAGAGCTGTATGATGGGCTCCACAATACGCAGAGTTGTGCTTGCGTTTATTTTGGCGGTCCCACGCTGGTTACAGACGGGTCTCGACCGACGTCTCTTCTCAACAAGAGTAAACCCGTCATTATCTCTCTTGGTTCGGGTCACCACAGGAACTGATTTTACATCCACATTATTTTGTTTTCGACCACAAGAGGGTACCGGTAATATAGCTGCAGCGTTCGGGCTTTACCACGTAAAAAAAACTATGATAATAATATGTAAACGTAATCACTTCATTCATTCATTACAGCACATTGTTCCACACGTTCACTGCTGAACTGATACCACCCCCACAAAATGCCTCATACGGAGATATTTGCAATAGGTGCCACACTTGAGAGGCCAGTTCCATGAGGTTAAGTTGAGTTTTCTATTTGGTAATATTCCATCGCTGCCTAGGAATCCGTCTGACTAGATGGAAACAATCTCTTGACTATTTCTGTCGCCACACAGCGTTTCGGTCTGTAGTGTACAGAGAGCTACTATAATTACTGGCTGTGAGACATTCTATCTAGGCTCTCAAAGGCACAAGGCGCCTGTAGTCTTATTCTTTTGAAGTTCCAGGTCGGTTGCAGTTTGTGGACACCAGAAGTCACTTGCTATCAGATGGACAGTAAGATCATTTGTCACTTTAATTTTATTTAAAAAAAGTGTTGAGGGAGACTCTGCTGCCCGTCTCCTGTTTCAGTTTTCCTTCATCGCCTTTCTCAACACCCACGGGATAAGGTATATAGGATAGTGGATTTATTAAAGCCGCTATACCGGTAATAAATTAAAAATTACACAATAAAAAGTTTTATTTAACAGTGTGGCTGAATTTATAGCGAAGCTTGTATAAGAAGCTAGCGGCTGCGATTTCGATTTTCGAATGAAGCTAAAATTGTGCACTGGACTACTGGAATATTTGTACCCTAGGCATTGTTTTTTTTAAATTATTTTAATGAAAGTAATTTTTGGTATTTTATTTCGTATCTTGAGTACAGTACAGTAATACAGGGGGGAAATCTAGATTATTTTTTATAGTAAAGGAGTGACAAACTAGCACACAGTCCACCTGACCCATAGACATTCACATGTGTCTTCAATTAAGAATCAAAATGAAGATGCGTTGTCATCGTTGACTAAGATGGAATGCCTCGTTTCCAGTAAAAAGGGTGTCCGGTTCTCTATGTTCGCCATACGAAACACAGTAACATTAAGCAGCTAATTTACACTGGTATTCAGTAAGAGCGAAGTCCTACCCCCGGTCGAGTTGACCCCTTCGTGTTGCAACCTTAATATAGCTGCAGTGTGGCTTTACCACGTAAAAATGTAGGACACTTTCAATAGATGTAATTGTTTTGTAAAATTTAATATATTTATTTATTACAATTTGGTTATAATTTAAAATAAAAGTGCTAATTTAAATTAAAAATGCCATAAATATTAATAAATATTAGTATTTATAACATAGGTGTAATAATGTATAAAAAATATTATTTTACTTATATCAAAGTAATAATATTATTACACCTACATGTTGACTACCTAGTTTTCGCTTAGAGTTTTAACTAAGCGGTAGAACTCAATTTATATGTAGAAGTCCGTTTTGGTAAGTATTATACTACTTTTTAATTTATTCATATTTATTCAAAATATTGTTATTTTTTCCTTACAATGAAAAACCATTGTAAACAAAAGTTTGTACCAACCACAACCTATTACGTTTTATGAATACTTGTGTCAGATGTTACCGCAGTTTGTTATTCTAACACTGTGAAAACAATTTAATAAAACACTTACAAATGCGGATTAAAACTAACGTTAGGTAGTTTAAATGGAAGCAAAGTCTAAATAAGTTGTTTAAAAGAAATCCTACACTTTTTTATTTACAATTTGTATAGTTATTTTTTCATTCGTGCGTATGCGTGCTAACATGTGTGTGTGTGTATGGTTGACGTGCGTGGGCGCATACGCACGCGCTTGCTAGTGTGTTTGTAGTTATGTACGTAGTTGAAGTTGAAGAGTCAGGGTTATTTTTCTGGGAGTTTCATCATTATTGTTCAAAAATGTTTACAGTAGTCATCTGTTGTTTATACAGTGAGCCTTAAAAAGCTATAGTGAATTACATGAGGTGACCACCAAACAGTTATGGTATTTCACCTGAGATTAGCGATGGCGATTATCGTAGAAAATCTACTTTTCATTACAAGTCACAAACACAGTTTGGACAAAACACAATTTTGTCCAAAATAGCTTTATTTTTATACATGTTCATCAAAGCGAGGCACACTCCAATAAGTGCTTCTTGATACTCATCAGTAAATACATACCACAATTGCCACAACACATGCATACAACCCGTTTCTCTCTCACTCTGCTTTCACAGAATACCAGCATAAAATAGCAGCTTAAGGCTTCTGTGTTTCGTATGGTATTCTTTATACTCGAAATAAGGTATTCCATCTTAGTCCTCAGGGGTGACAATGCATCTATATTTTCATTCGTAATCAAAGATTAATGATGTCTATGGACCACAACATCCACTTACCGTCAGGTGGACTTTTCACCCTTATTTTATAAAAAAAATCACCATCTTTTACAAATACACTGCTGCTTGCCTACAGAAAGAAGTGGTAGAGAGATTCTTACACGAATTGCTAGGCAGAAAAGTTGTCCTATTGCTTTTAAATAGAGCAGCGCCCTCTGTGAGAGGCGCTTTAATTAATTTTAGTTTTTTAATTAGCTTATTATTATTCTTATTATTGTTAAAATAGATTCGATTTAAAATTTAATCTTTTAAAAGACCACATGCTTTAAAGGATACCTGAATCTAACACTGTGGTGAATTTGGAAATGGCTGCAGATATCCACGACCTTTTAAACTGCTAAAATTGAGACAATACAGCGGACTATGTTTTATATTATAACGTCAAATATATCCTACCAAATAGGAATCGGTAATCTTCTTTGTTTATGAGTGTGAGTGAGGCTCTCGTACATTGCGCTTTTGCAATAATTAGACTTGTTCCTATCACAAATTATCCAGGCATATGCAATCTCCTTTGCTTATTAAATATGAGGTTATTTAATAAAGAGTGCTGAAAATAATGAATATATTTAAAAATATCAACTAAACTATATTTTAACAAAAACTATATTTTATTCAAAATCCTTAAAGCAAGGTATAGACGAAGCCAGTGATGGTTGCCAGTTTTACTGGCTTGTTGTTGGCCTCGTACACAGATTAATCTGTGGCCTCGTATAAACAGTTTTTCAAGACAAGCCAGCGCTGGCTGCCAGCTCTGGCGGGAATAGAGCGCCTGCCTATTTTTCAAGCCAATGACGTCCGCCCGCGTGCCCCGCAACCCCCGCGCCAGAATAAATAATTTGTAATATAAACATTTTATAAGTCATATTGTACAAATTCATATAGTTGATGTATGTAGGTATACGATAAACATTATTTTTCAGTTAGTTTAAAAAATCATTAATTTAATACAACGATTTACAAGAATACAACAACACGGGCCAGGCCAGCACTGACTTGTCTAAGGACTGGCGCCAGCATTACTGGCTTCGTCTAAACTTTGCTTAAGAAAATAATTTAGACAACAAACTTATAAAATTTATACTAATTTAAAATGATTTTCATCTAAAATAATTTTCTTTCGAAAATCAAAGAGAAAAGTTTCTTAAAACATTTATACTAAATTAAAATAATGTTTACTGAACTCTATCCTGAAAAACAGGTTTTTTTTACTGAACATCTACGTGTAAGTTATACATTTTTTATCCTTACCATAACCTTTATTAGCATTATTAGCAGGAGTTAACGATCATTCTACTGGGCGCAATGTATGTGTCCGTCTAACGGATTTTTCTATGGTTGCAAATCATCTATTTTCTCCAGAGGATATCATACAAACGCTAGTTCACATAAAATGATTAGATTTTTTTTCATCATGAACTTATTTTAACAGTCATATCGAATCTCAACATTTTGAAACAAGACCTTAATTTAATGAAAAAGGTAATGAATACACTTAACACAAATGCACTTTATTTAATTGAAAATAAAAATATAAATATAATTTAAAAAATTATCGAATTAAATTTATTTTATTTTATATTTCTAAATAATTAACAGAGAGGCAGTCGTTTACTTCATCTATATCCAAAGCTTATAAGATAAAATAAAAGGTATATGTATCGGAATATTGTCAAGGATGTGGAGAAATCACAAAACATCCAGCCCCGAGAATCAGTAATCTTTATTTTACAATCATATTATGTACTTTAGCTGGCAAATTAACCCAAATACGTTGCTCGATAGTCTGGTACAGCGATTATTTAGGTCACGTCACACACTATGGTACCTAGTTTAATATTATGATAATCAAAAGCTTTGGTCAACTGATGTCCATAATACAACGTTAAACAGATGCTGCTTCAGACTGATATACCTGACCGCAATTATTACTTCGCTATTAACGAAAAGAGACTTATAATATACTACACTACGCCTTAGCTTTCTTTTTATTTAAAAATTGAGTCTAACATTACTCCGACTTTAATTTGATTAACTTCGCACAGATGAGCAACAATTAGATGGAAAATGTTATGATTCTACTGTGCCTGCCAACCATTATTTCATGTTCTTTAGTCCGGCTACACCTTCAAAATATTCGAAATAAAGACTAGGTGGGATATTGAATATGCGTATAATACGAGTATGTGCGTTGAATTCACTTTAAATTAAATTATATTTTATCCTATTAACATATATGTTAATAAGTGATTATTTTCTTGAATAAAATTAAAAATCACAGATAATTCAATCTTCTAAACGAAACATAAGATTTTTCAATAAATTAAATACTTAAATGCTAATTAACATCATTAATTTCAATAAAGTCGATTGTAATCGTCCATATGAAAGGGATGTATGATCTCATTTAAATCTCTCCTTCTGCGTCTTCGACCTAACATCATAGGTACTACCATTGCCATTGTAGCCGGCAGCATACCAGCGCCAACTGCAGCAAAAACAGTGGATCTATCAGGTAAGCTACTGGGCACAACTTTTGTTTTGATGATTTTATTTCGGATTGGTTTTTGCTGAGACGTCGAAAACTCTAAATCATTCTTCTTGTCCATATCAAGTTTAGACTCTTCTACAGTTTGAAAGTTTCGTTCTACCTCTAATAAGCCACCATGCGAAATTGTCATATTAGTATGTGTATCATCAACAGGCAACACTGTTAATGCAACACCTTGGTGTGACGTCACCGTCGGATATACCACATTTTCTGTATTCATTGGATTCAGTGACCTCTGTCGTTTTTTATTTCTATAACCTTTTGTTGTTGAAAGTAATACCCACTGTCCATCTCCATAAGGTGGTCTTGATGACCGATCACCTTCAGAATCAGACATACCACTATACATGGTAGGTCTTCTGTATGGGCGTTTCCGAATGGGGGATTGATGAAGTGCTTCATATTCATAGGGAAATTTTGACGGTCGAGGATCGATCACTAAAGAATCTTGCATTGTTTCATAGTATCCCGAATCATCATTTGGATAATTTTCATGTGTGTCACAATTATGCTTGTAAGGGCGGCGGCTTTCATCAGGGGCCCATGAAGATTGAAAATTAGCAGTGGACTGTTGGGGTTCCATCCATGTCGGTTTGGATGGTAATTCTGTATCATATTCTGATGACAAATGCAATTTGTTATTCATGAAACCAGGACGAATCATAGTAGGCTTCTTTTCTGCATAATTATAACTCGTATCCATGTCTTGATTTGAAGTTAGTCTATCATCGGTCGAAAAACTATCTTCGTCATCATTCCAATAACTGGGTTTCTGTTTTTTCACATTTGGTTTCCATTTTGAAATTTTGCTGGTAGACCATGCTACTGGTTCCAATGTCACCCAGCCGTCTTTATCGTCAAATGGATGATTATGTTGTTTCACTTTCAACCGGTTCCAGGATGTAAATATCTTTTTATTGTTGTTCTCATCAATGTTGTCATCATTTATGGGAGAATATCGATCAGCTTTTAACTTGTCTTTTTTTAATTTTGCCGCTAAAGCGCTAATAGCTTGTAGACGATCTTTAGGAAAATCGCGATAATCTCTTAGTTTATCTGCATTCTCATTACCAAATAAGTCCTCAAAGCTATCTTGCGGACCTTCATTTTCATCAAATCGTTCTTGACAAGAGGGTCCATAACAACGAGGACGATTTCCGTTTATATCGTGAACTATATGCGTCATAAGATTTCTAATTTCTACATCTTTATCACTAAGCATTTTATCAGAAGAATCCCATTTACTCCCCATATCGGAGACAGGCGCGGTTTCTATTATAGTAATTGGTTCCTTTCCAGGCACTTCCAGTTTATACGTCTTTATTTTATCATTATACCGTTCGATTTGTGTTTGGTCATTTGGATTTGACGCGGCAAGGTTGAAAACGCATAAAGTAAGTAGTAACACTGTCATTTTCGTTGAGAAATTTTCACTTTCTTTGGTTCACGTGTCTGCGCGCTTTCAAGGCGCACGCGTACTGAGCGTCAGCGCCGGTTGCAACTTACTGTTATAGTTTTGATGAAAGGTGCACAATAACCCTCCCTGCTCTCTAATGCAATGGTGATTTCAGTTTAGTCACGACGAATGAACGATATAATTATGTTGCGATTGTCGTTTGACGGCAGCTTATCTTAATTTACTATCACGTCTCTCTCGACGCCGTGACCTACGTCGAGGTGAAAACGTTTTTCATCATGAGAAATATTTTCTCTCAATGTATAATGGGCGAAAAGTTGCGGCTCAGGCGTGCCTCTATGCGTTTCACTATATTTGTAGTAACATATCATAAATAACAAAAGAATTTATCGCAAATTGAGAATAATGTAACCCTTTATTAAAAATAATTTCTATTTGGACATTTTGACTGACTAATCTAATTTTAAGCTAATGATACAATTCTATAAAAATGTGTTATTTGTGCAACGTATGGCTTCGGTTTTTTCGCTAAATATAAAAATGGTTAAAAAAATCAAAAAAATTATTTATAATGGTGGACAAACATTATGTGACCGAGAATATATTATTGCTCTCAGATTTCATCCAGCATCAAGCCAACTCTCTCCATAATCTGTATCCGGCTTATGATTCCTATCGTGCCTCGATCAACTCCGCTCTAATTGTAACACGCACTTTTTATTATTTCATTTACTTAAACTTTAAAGGCTTGGAATAATTTTGTTACTTAAGAGTTTAATAAGTAGCGTATGTTAGAAAACCGTTAAAATTTTAACTATTTGTTCAATTTTTTTATTATAAAACGAAACATTTTTATCCCTGTTGTGATTTTAATCAATTTTAGATTAAATTTAAAAAAAGATTAAATTGTTTCTTTTATATAAATGGTTTACTCAGATATTTTACAATGATACTTAAATACATTTTATTAATAACCCGTCCACAGCGCCACTTATCGGGTTTAGGTTTTGTAATTTTTTTTCGGCTTTAAACCAAAAATTGTGTATATGACTTATATTAGTCCATAAATATAGAATTTGTAAATATCGTGACCTTTCCGATACTAGCATAGATTGACTTGAAAAAGCAAAAATATATTTTGTGATTATGATTTGATCAGATAGTTCAGAACTTACACGGTAAATTACAGACGCAAGATATTCCCGAAAGGATTGCCTTCGCTTCGACACGCTGCGCGAAATAGTAAGCGCATTGCCGATACCCACGCACCAGTGTTTGGGTGGGTCTTAGGTTCGGCTTTTTTGGTATTTTCGCACAAATAGTTGTTAAAAAGTTGTTACGCTGGTATGGACAAATCAAACGCAAAGCTCTAAATTACATCAGAAACAAAACCTCTAGTTTTAAGGTCTCTGGGCTTCGGAGGCTGGGCAAACTGAAAACGCATTCTCATAAACTTATGATAGCCATACTGTGGTATGCAGGTAGACGTTTTTTACTTGCTTGCTGCCAAAGCTAAAATAGCTCTTTTAACTCTAGCCTGTCTACAGTCTTACCGTGTCGCGTTGTTTCTAAAACTCTCTTAGTAAACGTAGTTAGCTACGTCTACTTGGGTTGGATGCTTACTGACCTATAAAATTGAGATCTCTTTAAGTCGTGGCTGAATGGAATTTTCTAGGCTAACAGGTTTAGAACTCTAAATGACTTGATATTAAATTCAAGCTGATTTATTAGGCTGCTTTGATTATGTAAGATAAAAAGGACATATTAACAAAAATGTGTATGTTGAATTCATAAATCTTCTTTAAAAACGTTACACTAGAATTTTTTCTGTATCGTGGAGGTGTTTTCCAAAAATAAATTGAACATGGACAAGTATTCAAAGCCCGACCAATCATTTGTAAGTAATGCAAAGTTATGTTTCGTGTGGGATTTTAACCCACGGCCCTACAACACTGTGCTAGTAACATTTTAATTTTATCATTATTTAATTCGAAAAAACATGAGTTTTTTAAACAATCATTACTGTAAGTATATATTTTTTAAATGTCTATATCGTTACGAATACACTGAGAATATAGTGCATTGAACTGATGTACATAATCATAATCTACAAAATAATTGTTCAGGATTTGGGTATTTGTCCATATGTAATTTATGTAGTATATAAGATGTCTACGATACGTGAGAAATTCTTTGTCTTAAAAAAGCTCTCCTGCAAACTGAAGTAGCAGGGGATCAACGTTTGATATATGAGAACCAGGACTAGGAGCGAAAGGACTTAATGCCAATAATGCTGCAAACTAGCAAAGGTATCAAAGTTCAAAGAAGAAAATGATATTAGAATACGAAGATTATTTACTGTTTAAATAACGCATTATTGATAAATTTTTGCATGATAGAGCCAAACTCATTCGTTACAGCTAATTATAGGTCCACAGCTGAACATAGGCTATGGTCAATAGATTGCCGGGCGGTTTGGCAACTGCAGAGTTTTTAGTATTTAGAGTTGTTGTCTCACTCTGCCACTACATGGTGATAAACAAATAACCATACTACATTAAAGTAGTGTATAAATATATGGCTACGACACGAATGGGTCGGCTCTACTGAGGAAGGACCACGCTCGCAAATAATGTCAGCCCAAAATTGCAACATATTTGTACTTAGTTTCATGTGACGAAAAGCGGAGAGGCTGTTTTACGTCTGACATATGTAAATGATATATAGGAAGGTTCAAAATTTGATGGTGTTTCGCCTCCATTAGGTGTCCTATCTAAGGGATGAAATAGAATAATGAATTCTCTCACGCTAGCATCACAGGGGACTAAGAAGTTAAAGTAATATTATAGCCTATGTATTATATGTAGAATACACCCGAGTACTAGGCACGGGCCTACTCTCTTTTCTGATAGGGATGTGGGATCAGTGTTGGTGAACTTCACATGTCTTTGAAATATTTTTATTCCTAATTCTCTCGATGTTATTATTCACCGTTGAACGCGTGGTGAATCATCACATAAAATTACAACCGGCGAAGATCAAACTGGAGTTAACCGCATAATGTGAAATTTACGACAAGTCTTAGCCCCTGTTACTAGCTATTTAGCGTTCATTTAAAATGGTTTATTTATCTTTTATTTAAATGAGCGAGAAAGCCGCTGTAAGGGGTGCTACGTGCAGGCCACTTTGTTGACCTTTAATGTCAGTAGCATCTTGAACAAAACCAAAGAGGTATGCAAATGGCGCGAATGAGATTTTTGAACTATATGAGTTTCTGAGAAATGTTTTGTATTAAGTGAATGGATATAGACGTAAATAGTCTATCGGTTCGTAGGTTTCAATAGCAGTAAAGTTTTTAAAACACTTTGTCCGCTGCTATAGTGTGATTTTCAAAGTAACCATATCATGAAAATTTAAATCTAGGGATTAAGTTGAACTAAAAACTACTTGCCGATATGCACATCTCTAAAGTAATTAAAAAATCATCTCGTGCAATCAGATTTGTTTTCAGAACATCATCATAATTCAAATAATAAAAACTTTAAAAATACTCTATTGCAAATTTGTCCTAAGTCTTATAGAGTACGCTCCACAAGTTTGGAAATCTAACAATAACCCATAAATTAACAGAAGTTTCCAAAAAAATCTGCAATTCCATTCTAGAAATAACATATAAGTGATTAATTTACGCGCTGTAAAGAAACCATATATACTTCCTCTATACGAACCTAGGAAAATAGCGATACTGTTGACAGTCCAGTGATGCCCAATAAAAAGGATTGTGCAGACCATCAATTCCACTAGGAAAACAATCTACTGCAATCCTTTAAATAATACCATCTACTTTTGTTGGTCTAAACATTACCTAAATACCATGGTTTACATAAATAACAGACAAGGACAAAAATCCATTCGTTTGACAGATCGATTCGATCGTCAGAATTCATTTTTAATAAGTATGTGCAAAAGTTTTAATATTATATTACAAAAATTTAATATAGATACATGTGTTCGTAAACTAAAGAACATGCTTTCTAATTCTTTCTTAGTCTCTACAATTTGAGTATTTTTTATTATTATTTTACTTCTACTTGTTTCATGTTTTACAGTTTTGATTCTATTTGAGATCTCTTCCTAGAGTATTACTTTAGCTGTATGTGTTTGCAAAATAATAAAATAAAATAAACTAGCCGTCGCGTCGCCGCTTTTCAAGAGGGCTGTTTCTTTTCTCGCCCAAAGGCAAAGTGTATTGATTCAACGAGGAAACGAAGCCATCGTTTTTAGCCTATATCATGGGGAGTAAAATTATATTATATTTATGATAGTTTTAGTTTTTATTTTTGTAAATATTGTATACATTATGTAATAAAATACCTCTTTAATATGACACTTTCTTCATTTGTTTAAATTAAAATTTGTTTAAGGATAAGTCATGCCCCTACCCGTTTGCGTTGTACGCCCTACACGTTTACCCTGGGTGGTGCTAAAAGAGCGACAAAGCCGAAAGAGTAGACTCGACTCCTCGTCGTGTGGTAGCGACGTAAAATATACCACTCCCTAGTTTCGCACCATGAGTCATTAAAAAAAGGAAATGGTCCCGAGTTTCCGGGAGGAAAACCGGCAACGAGGTTCGCCACCCGTAACGTGTAACGTTCTGTCTTCCGGAGGGGCGAAAAGAGGTTTGCGGAGGCCAGTCTTGCTACGCTGAATCTTATGGAGCAATAAATGATAAAATGAATGAAGTATGCGATATGATGTATGATAGAGGAATATATGAGTTATGTGTAAATGAGACGAAACGGAAGGGAAAAGATGTCACTATACATGGCATATATATACCGCGTATTGGTCTGGTGTAGACAAGACTGAACGGGCATACCAGGGAGCCGGTATCATCCTTTCAGAAAGAATGGGTCAATGTGTGAAAGAGTATGAATGTGTAAGCCCGAGACGAATATGGATACAAATGAAAGTGAGCCTAAAGAAGTTGTTTGTTC